ATACCGCTGTGCCACTGGGGGCGATATTGGTGTAAGATGAATTTAACTTTTTGTATTCACTGTTGTATTAAGTTTTGATTGGATTGCACATTATTGATAAGGGGCATTTTGATAAATGGTTATCATTATTAAAGGTTTGATACAACTATTTGTATAACGTACTTTGTTCAAGGGTTTTTATGTGTAAGTGTTTGCAGAGGCAAGACAAAATTAGTACACTCCTTGACCAGAACAATAGTTTAAATTTCGTTGATTTTAAAGTCAAAATCAATTGTCTCCTTGAGGACAAGCCAGAAATTGGGAAGGGAGGAAAATGTGGCATATAAAATATCATGAATATCTTTCTTCAATATAGTATTATTCTAAATCTATCTGTTATTTTTGAGTATATGCAGTTTTCATATGGCATGTGATCAAGAAAGTCGTTAAGTTTATTTCTTTCTAGCTGCTTTTGTTTCTTTGTCATTCCTTGAAAGTAACACCTGTTCTTGCGGTGTGCGTTGAGGGTATAACTATAATACTGCACCTGGTGCAAACATGTGTCCTCCAATGGAAGGTCATATGATATTTGAAGTTATGTTTCAGTAGAATTGGCCTACAGTGACATAGATAGCACTCGCATCCTAGAGAGACAGTATTATAGAATATGGTATATAATATTATGATATCTTAACCCCCACTCTATCTTGAGATCAAACCCTCAATTTAGTAAGTGAACTCTAACTTCTTCCTGTAAATAATGATATGCTCCTAAGGTTTAACCTTTAACTAATACTTATTAAACATATAATGTGACGGTCAATCCCACTATTCGTTGGTAAAAGAGTATCCCAAGAGTTAGCGGTGGGTGGTGTTGACTAGTTGCATTCCCTCTAGTCTTACACTGCTAAATTAGGTACGGCTAGCGCAGATAGTCCTCGTGTAGCTTTGCGCGAAATTCAAAAACAAACAAACAAGGTCAGTATATATGGCTAAGTATCTTGGCGACTAAACAGGAGAATACGTTTGAAATTATACATGAAGTCACGTAATTACTACTACTAAACTAAACCTAATGAAATATACGATATTAACAATCACTAGTCGCATACGCGTCTTGGAGTAATCCCTCGAGCAACGCTCAAAGTTAAGTCAGTCTACCGCTCTGCGTGTCTTGGAGTAATCCCTCGAGCAACGCTCAAAGTTAAGTCAGTCTACCACTCTGCGTGAAATTAAGATATTCCCGAACGAATACCTGCTGTCAGCAGTTTGATGGATAGCAAAGGAGGACAGCTACGAAACAGACGTAGTAACCCTCCAGGCTTAGGGTTAACAAATCCCTTCACAACCTCACCACTGGTCGCTTAGTTGGTCCCTCTACCTGCTGCTTTCAGCGAGGTGGGGGAACATGGAAAACTCTCCGTTCCTGACAAAAACTAGAGTAACTTCGGCTGCGGTAACTTTAACCAAAATGTTAATTGTGAAAAAAACTATCCTAGTTATATTCGTTTAACCATCAGAAAAACGTGTTTGGAAACAGAGAAGACGTGTACAATTAATTTTAAATAAATAAAGAAACGTGCGTAGGTCCATATGAGAATAAAAACGACTTGAGTCCAAATTGTTCGTTTTATTTATTTTAAAAGTTATTTTCTATGCCTACCGTAGGAATCCTTTAGCAATTCTGAACATTTACACACTCACATCAGTGAATGTTCGAATAGATTAAACATTTATTAATCCTCCCTAAAGAAATTATTCTCCACACAGTATCGCAGATTTCAAACATATAGTCTATGAATATGTACAATATCATTAATTAAACACATCTAATCTATCTTATATGGATCATGCATTTTCTAGATGCCAAACAGGCCTGTTTATTTTCTACTATATTTAAATATGAATTTACCTGTAATCGTCCTGAATTACAGGTGTAATTCGTAACATTTTCAGCTTACCATTTACACTTTATCGGTTCTTGTATAATTAATATTCTCTATCACCTCCAGTTGAGCTCTCCAATTTTGAGGCGAATCCAAGTGTTGACTGTTAGTGTTGAAATCAAAAGCCATAATACCCAGGTGAGTAAGTGGGTATGTTCCAAAGGAATAGCTGATGATCGATCAGGATCAATGTCATTCTCTCCCAGTACAAAGTCCTCTCTTCCATAACACAGACGCTCCATATTGACCTTTATTCGCCTGCAGGGGAACTCTTCTGATCCATCACAGTAACACGATCTGAGTTTCTCGGCCTTTACCTGCCGGTTTAAGATTGCCAGACTGTTGTTACAGCGGTGAGTACACCTATAACCGCGAAACATCGCGTGACACCAGTGATGGTAGTATTCAAGGGCCGTTGAGCACAAAAGGTCAGCCACACAGATCCAGTGAGCTACAGAACAGGAAACGACAGCGTCTTCGGCTGTAGCCTGGGTGACCTCGGGACGACAAACTTCTACACGTTCTTTGCTTAATATACAGAAATCTGACCCATTACAGTCACACTTCATTAGTTCCTTCCCTTCTGGTGTACTCGCTAGGGAAATTAGTGCACGTTTACAGAGAGTGGTACATCTGGACACTCGCCCGGCCAGCACACTAGCACAGTCAAACATATAGTTTTGCAGAGCTGTTCCACAGCCTTTCCGATAAGCACACTTCATCCGAGCTATCTCACAGTTCTGCGCCGCCAAAGAGCTAGACGCGGTAGATAGCATACAAAATATCACGACGATCGCTGCCGCTGAGTTCATGGCGCGTCTCCTCGTTCAGTCAAGTTCACCATTGGTGCCTTGATGGCATACTGCTACAGATTATCTTACAAAGTGGTCCTATCATGATAAACACTACTGAAGACCATTGAAACAAATGAGAGCAACCAAGATGCCAGTTTCATTTTACGCCACCTATCTATTTAAATTCTCATCTTACCATACCTTCCAAACGCTGATGAACGTACATCTCTACTTGCGTTGTACTCGAAGCCCCTCACGATTTCACAGGTTGACTCCACCCCCTTTTACATTCAACCAATCCTAAACTAGTAGCAAGTTTCACATCCGGGCGTTTCTTTTGAAGTCTCGTGGCACGTGGTTTTACTTCTTCTTGGCTCTTTTTAAGAAGGTCATTAATTTTAGCTGTCAGGAGAAAGTTGTTTATGAAGGAATCCGATGGCAGAAATCATAGCGAAGTGAGTTGTCATCAACGTTGAGGTTTTTGGGCGGACACGCTGACAACATTCTCGCGCCACGTGCCTAGAAACCAATACTCTTCATGAAGGGTGAAACGAATTGTATGTAAAACATAGTGGGACTTTCTAGTTACGCTGTGTTACCTCGCGGAATATAGCGAACTTTTCACGAACTTCAGAAACTAACCTGTTCTTCTAACTTCTCGATTGTGCTGATAACAACTACTCGTAACTCGAAATAAATAACAACTCATAATAATTAAGGGCACCAATCTGCACATAATAATTAAGGACACCGATCTGAACATAATAATTAAGGGCACCGATATGTACATAATAATTAAGGGCACCAATCTGCACATAATAATTAAGGGCACCGATCTGTACATAATAATTAAGGGCACCGATCTGCACATAATAATTAAGGGCACCGATCTGTACATAATAACTAAGGACACCGATCTGAACATAATAATTAAGGGCACCGATCTGTACATAATAATTAAGGGCACCGATCTGAACATAATAATTAAGGGCACCGATCTGAACATAATAATTAAGAGCACCGATCTGTACATAATAATTAAGGGCACCGATCTGTACATAATAATTAAGGGCACCGATCTGTACATAATAATTAAGTGCACCGATCTGTATTGATAGATTGTGTTAGAGGAGGACAAAAGTTACTGTATTATTTTAACACACCATAATTTATTTGCATAAAACAAAAAAATTGAATAACTAAAACCAGATTTTGATTTTTATTCTTGGTAGATATGAATATGTTGAATGGAACAAAATAAACGGTCTATGTTTAGCCTAGCTGTACGTTTTATGTCGCATAAAACACGAAAAATCTTTTTAGCAAAATCGTTAAAGTTGGGGGACCCCCCCCCCACTGTAAATAACATATTGGGGTTTGTCCTCCTTCTAAACCAGCGCTTATAATCATACAATCAAATCTTTTTAACAAAATCGTAAAAGTTGGGGACCCCCTCCTCACTGTAAAGAACATATTGGGGCTTGTCCTCCTTCTGAACAAGCGCTTATAATCATAGTCAACGATGGATCAGTTTCTGTTGACACTTCTTTATGTTCAGAGAGAGGTCAAACCAAATCCATGTTATTACCCATTCATGATGTCAGAAAAACACGTAGATTCAATAAGTCTTCATACAAAATGATAAATACCCTATAACCCGAGCGCTTTCGAAAGGAGGACCTTTGTTCTTTAGGGGCAAAAAGTTTCCCCCTGAAGAAGAAAGGCCCCCCTTTCGAAGGCGCTCGGGTTTTATGTTATTACTCAGATATT